GCCTCCCAAAGTGCTGGGATTACAGGCATGAGCCACAGTGCCCAGCCCTTTTCCTCCCCTTATTTTGATAATTGAGTGCTCCTTACCATTTGAGAACTAACTCTTGCCCATTTGATCCATAGACCTTCCCTAGGATTCAAGGTGCACGCCATGTTTGGGGAGAAAAGCTGAGGTACTTAGGCTATGATGGAGGCCTGAGCCTACTGGAGCTATCTTCCCTAAGCTTTAAAGTCACCCTGAAGAAAGCTTGAAGGCACCAAGAAATCAGGGAATGAAGTCAAGCCAAGTAGAGACGACAAAGAACAGGCAGAAAGTCATGACACACACAATCCTGTCCTTCCCAGTACGTGAGCCAATAAACCACTTTTTTTTTTTTTTTTGGCTTTGCTTAAGCTACTTTGAGTTGAATTTTTGTCCTTATAATGAAGATTCCCAACTAATATAGCTCTGTAATTCAAGAAATTCACATATCTGGCCAGGCACAGTGGCTCACATCTGTAATCCCTTCCAGCACTCTGGGAGGCCAAGGTGGGTGGATCACCTGAGGTCAGAAGTTCGAGACCAGCCTGACCAATATGGTGTAACCCCATCTCTACTAAAAATGCAAAAATTAGCCAGGCAGGGTAGCATGCATGTATAGTTCCAGCTACTCAAGAGGCTGAGACAGGGAAATTGTTTGAACTTGGGAGGCAGAAGTTGCAGTGAGACAAGATCACGCCACTGAACTCCAGCCTGGGCAACAGAGTGAGACTCCATCTTAAAAAAAAAAAAAGAAAGAAAGAAAAAAAGAAATTTACATATCTAACCAAAATCTGTCCGCTAGAGGTCTGATAAGTAAGCTCTTCTTTTCCTTTCCCTTCAAGCTCTATCCCACCCCTCCGAAAGCAGATCTAGGGAGGGTTTCCTTGTAACTTGTGTTGAAGCAATGTAGCAATGTGGCTTAAGCCCAAAGCTAAAGTAGGGCTTTCACTAATTCCATTCACATCTAGGCTTTCCAATCTATCTTTAAAGAGAGTTGGTTCTTCCAGGAAGATACTCCTTAAGCCAGTGGTGCATAGGATCAAAACCTGCTTCATAAATACTGGCACCGCAGAGGAGATAGCCTATAGCATAGCAAGCGTATGTCAGAGAGCAAGCCCCCTTTTCAATGCATGGCTCCTGCTTCCTGCTTCTAATGGCTTGTCCTGATGTCACCAATCATCAGATAAGTCATTCATCTTTCCCTGAAGGAAGAGGAGGCAAGGATGTTGCAGTGTGGACCCGCAGGGAGTCTATTTCTACAAGTCTTCTTTTTGTCTGTGGATATGGAAATGTTAAGGAGAGTCACTCCCTCCCCCTCCTCATTTCTTGGGTTCTGATCCCCTTTCCTCTGGTAATAGCACTTAATCCTAGTTCTTCCCATACTATTCTTTGTACTGTACCTCAAAGGATTGGTTTGAAGAGAAAACTCATCAGAATGGACCAATCAGAACCCATCTCTGAATTTTCTGCATCAATTCCAACCTTCTGTGTTGGCTTCCTCAAATAATACCATCTTCAAAGTCACTTTCCATTCTTAAGGGCCTCTGTATAAGCTGTTTCCCTGTAAAATGTGTTTCCTTATCATCTCACTTGAGTAGCTTTTTTGTCTCCCTTTAGACCTCAACTTAAATATGACTTCCACAACTCAAATTTACCTCCTCAGAGAGGTCCTCCCAGTCCTTTCTATTTAAACCAGGACTTCCACTGTGATTCTCCATCTCAACCCTTTTTGTTTCACAACTGAAAGGAACAATCACTGTATTTTAAATATGGACTGACATAAGAAAATGAAATGTATTTGCTGCTAAAAATTGAGAGGAAGAAGTACAATGAACCATCTTGTAAAATTACTTTTTTTTTCTTTTCTTTTCTTTCTTTTTTTTTTTTTTTTTTTTTNTTTAATAAAGACGGGGTTTCACCATGTTGGTAATGTTGGTCTTGAACTCCCAACCTTAGGTGATCCGCCCACCTTGGCCTCCAAAGTACTTGGATTACAGGCATGAGCCACCATGCCCGGCCGTAAAAATACATTTTAAGATATTCAATAGGAGAAAAATTGTTCCAAACCTGGACTGGGGTGGAATATTTTTTGGAATGCAATTCACAGCTCCTTCTGGGAAGAGGATTGCATTCCTGATAAAATACTTAAGTAATTTTTCTGAACTTTAAATTATGACTTGTTCTGGGAAAACCAATCGCCTGGCTATTTAACTGAGTTCAGCGACCTTAAACAAACATTCTTTTGTATCTAATCTAAAAATGATTAAACATTCCGTTTTCCTATAAAATATTTCTGCCAAGAGTGAATCTTTGGATTGGCCTTTTCCTTCTAGTCAGATTGTAATAAAACATTGCAATTTGCTTGTAACTAAATTGTCTGAAAAGCTTTGCTTTTTTTAATTTTAATTTTTCTTTATTTATTTTTGAGATGGAGTTTCATTCTTGTTACCCAGGCTGGAGTGCAATGGCACTGTCTCAGGTCACTGCAACTTCCACCTCCTGGGTTCAAGCAACTCTCCTGCCTCAGCCTCCCAAGTAGCTGGAATTACAGGCATGTGCCACCACGGCTGGCTGATTTTGTATTTTTAGTAGAGACGGGGTTTCATTATGTTGCCCAGGCTCCTGACCTCAAGTGATCCACCCGCCTCGGCCTCCCAAAGTGCTGGATTACATGTGAGCCACCGCACCTGGCCAGTTTTGCTTTTTTAAAAACAACAACAACAAAATACCTTATAGTAGCTTTACATGCTATATTTGTTCATAACTTCTTTAGGGTCTTGTCCTCACACTAGACTTTATATAGTATTAAACTGTAGGCTATAATAGGACAGGGAACAGGTTTGTATTACTTGGTGTTTATCCCTAGGAACAACTTAGCACAGTACCTTGATAGGAGCTGCAGCGATATTTGTTAAGTTGATGAGTAATAAGTGAATGAATGAAATTTAAATGTGTGTACATTTGTAGACTAGATGAATTTATTTGTCACAAAGAGGAGTGTGCATCTCCTCTTTGTGACAAATAAATATGAAAGAATGGAGTCCTTCCTTTCCCCTTTCTGATCTGTAATGCAAATATAACTGAACCTCCTCGGCCCTCTGTGATTCCCTAGGAAGGCCACTCTCAAATGTCATCTCATCCAAACAATGCAAATCCCACTACAAAAACACTGGAGAGTAATGAATGTTTTTACTGAAGGTTTCAGGGGAGACAGAAGAGGCACTTATGACATATATCACTAGCAACACCTTTTAAATTCTTATCAGAGGCCAGACACAGTGGCTCACACCTGTAATCCCAGCACTTTGGGTGCTGAGGCGGGCGGATCACCTGAAGTCAGGAGTTTGAGACCAGCCTGGCCAACATGGTGAAACCCCATCTCTATTAAAAATACAAAATTTAGGCCGGGCCCAGTGGCTCACATCTGTAATCTCAGCACTTTGGGAGGCTGAGGTGGGCAGATCATGAAGTCAGGAGATTGATACCATCCTGGCTAACACGGTGAAACCCTGTCTCTACTAAAAATACAAAAATTAGCTAGGTGTTGTGCATACCTGTAATCCCAACTATTTGGGAGACTGAGGCAGGAGAATGGTTTGAACTTGGGAGGTGGAGATTGCAGTGAGCTGAGGTCATGTCACTAGCGACAGAGCAAGACTCTGTCTAAATAATAATAATGGAGTCAAAGAAGATCACTTCAGAGCTTTAAAAAACAAGGAAAAAATAAATAAATAAAATAATAATAGTAATTAGCTGGGTGTGGTGGTGTACGCCTGTAATCCCAGCTCCTTAGGAGACTGAAGCAAGAGAATCACTTGTACCCGGAGATGGAGGTTGCAGTGAGCCAAGTTTGTGCCACTGCACTCCAGCCTGGGCAACAGAGCCAGGCTCTGTCTCAAAAACAAACAAAAAAAAAAAAAAAAAAAACAAAAAAAAAACAAAAAAAAAAAAAAAAAAACAATTCTTACTTGAAGCATTTCTCTCCCTCTAGAGAGGGAGCCACATACCTTTCTCTCTGTCTCTCTCTCTCTCTTTTTGAGATGGAATCTCGCTCTGTCACCCAGGCTGGAGTACAGTGGCATAATCTCGGCTCACTGTAACCTCTGCCTCCTGGGCTTAAATGATCCTCCTGCCTCAGCCTCCTGAGTAGCTGGGACCACAGATGTGCACCACCACACCCAGTTACATTTGTATTTGTTGTAGAGACAGGTTTCATCATGTTGCCCAGGCTGGTCTCAAACTCCTGAACTCAAGTGTTCTGCCCACCTTGACCTCCCAAAGTGCTGGGATTACAGGTGTGAGCCACCACGCCCAGCCTCTGTCTTCTTTCTCTAAGTCTGCTCAGCCTTCCTCTCTTCCTCCCCCTCTTTCTCCCCATTATCTTCCCCCATAGGTATCTTCCCTTTTCTGCAGTGGAACAAGTGGCCCCCTTTTGGGTTCTTCAGTTCGCATCTCTACCTCCTCAGTAAATACTCTAAAGAAAAGCTTTTCTTCAGGATACATAACTAATCGAATATGGTTATATTCTGTTAAGCAGAGAGGAAGGGATGGCAAATGACCGATCATTTTTCTTCTTCTTTTTCTTAATCTCTGTCTGAGATTATACAAGGTGGGGCAGGGGATTAATTGAGTGTGTAAAACAGTAGTGCATTTAATGCAAAACAGTAGAAATATACCGAAAAGCCTAGCTGTGGTGGCTCACTCCTATAATCCCAGCACTTTGGGAGGCTGAGGTGGGTGAAGCGTGCTTGAGCCCAAGAGTTTGAGACCAGCCTGGGCAACATGGCAAAACCCCGGCTCTCCAAAAAAAAAAAAAAGAAAAGTAGCCAGGCATGGTGGTGTGCGCCTGTAGTCCCAGCTACTTGGGAGGCTGAGGTGGGAGGATTCCCTGGGCCCAGTTAGTTGAAGCTGCAGTGGTTGTGTCACTGCACTCCAGTCAGGGTGAGAGAGCAAGACCCTATCTCAAAAACAAAACAATAAGTTTTGCACAGTGGCAGTATTGTAGCCAATGAGGTTTATCCGAGGCGCGATTATTGCTAATTGAAAACTTTTCCCAATACCCAGCCATGACGACTTGAAATTTGGTTGACACAGGCAATTTTTTGACAGTCTCTACGGAGACTGAATATAAAAAATGAAATAAAAAAAACAGTAGAAAGTTTTGTTTTATACATATATGTATAACTTATAAATATATTGTAATAACCTAACCTGGGTTAGCCTAACTGACTCCATCTTAGCTGCAAACCTGACAAGCTCCCTTGAGCCTCTCCCTCCCTGCCATAGCCCCTCAGGTGAGTGGTTCACACTGTTGCTTCAACTAACTGGGCCCAGGCGATCCTCCCACCTCAGCCTCCCAAGTGGTTGTGCCAAAGCACTCCAGTCAGGTAGACTTGCCAAGCAGGATGCGGTTACACTGTTCCCAGTACTGTATGGAAAAGTTCCCCTGCTACCCGCCTTAATAATTGCATGGACATACCCTTAGCAACCAATAATCCTGGGAACCTCCTGCCCCCTGGTTACTAGCCTCTTCCTACTAACTTGCTTGTTCTGCTTCTATAAAATTCTGCTTCAGCTAGGCTGCCCCCTCCCCTACCTAAATCAAGGTATAAAGGGAAATCAAGCACTTCCTTGGGGCCGAGAGATTTTGAGCATTAGCTGACTCTCAGTCGCCGGCTGAATAAAGGACTCATAATTTGAACTCAGAGTGTGGCGTTTCCTTCTAACTCGCTTGGTTATTACAATATATTTATAAACATATATATATGCTTATATATATACACCAAAATATGAAGCATGTATTCAAGAGGTCTGCAGGGACAATCCTGTGTAACTAGCAGATTGTCCTTTTGGGGGCAGTAAAAGTATTAAATGATTTGCCTTGGCTTTCATTTGTGCCAGACTTGCTAGTTATGTCATTAACAACTCAACTTGTTAAGGTTTCTCTGTGTAACTTCAAAAAGAATGCATTTGTCTACCTAAAGAAAGAAACTACGGCAAAATTAATATAGAGTGTTTATTTGGGCCACGGTTGAGGACTGCAGCCTGGAAACACTTCCTGGTTACCTTGGGAAGTGCTCCAGAGAACAAAGGAGAGGCTTAAGTTTTTAAAGAAAAAATAATGAATCAGGAAAGGGGTGATTACAAAAGTTGTTTGTGAGGAATTTTCATTGGTTTACAGAAATAATATTAATTAATGATTGGCAATATACATTGCTGAATCATTACTAACTCATAGAGTATGAGTTATGGTGTCCAGTGTATGGCATTGTTAGGTTAATTTATTGCTACTTAGGGTCAGTAAATCTAGAGGCCACATAGCAAGTAGTTTCCTGAAGTGATTACCTAGTTCAAGGGGGAGCAAGATGTGACTCTTGTCACACTTCAATGCTCTGGCCCTGGTAATTTAAAGTGGGGCTTGCATTTCTGAGATAAAATGTTTCTTTTCTTTCTCACATTGCAGATACCATCAGCATGTTTTTTTTTGTTTGTTTGCTTGTTTTGTTTTTTTAAAGACAGGGTTTCTCCATGTTGGTCAGGCTAGTCTCGAACTCCCGACCTCAGGTGATCCGCCTCCCTTGGCCTCCCAAAGTGCTGGGATTACAGGTGTGAGCCACCATGCCCGGCCAATTTTTTTTTTTTTTCAAACAGAGTCTTGCTCTGTTGCCCATGCTGGAGTGCAGTGGCACAATCTAAATTCACTGAACCTCCACTCCCTGGGTTCAAGCAATTCTCCTGCCTCAGCCTCCCTAGTACCTGGGATTACAGGTGCCTGCCACCACACCCAGCTAATTTTTGTATTTTTAGTAGAGATAGGGTTTTGCCATGTTGGCCAGGCTGGTCTCAAACTCCTGACCTCAAGTGATCCACCCGCCTTGGCCTCCCAAAATGCTGGGATTCCAGGCGTGAGCCACCATGCCTGGCCCACCTGTATGATTTTTTTAAGTCACTTAATGCTCTCTTATTTAAGATGTCTTTTATTGCCTTCCTGGTGCAACCTTTCTTCATTAAAAAAAATAGCCTGGGCAACATGGTGAAACCCCATCTCTACAAAAACATACAAAAATTAGTCCAGCATGGTGATGGGTGCCTGTACTTCCAGCTACTCAGGAGGCTGAAGTGGGAGGATCACATGAGCCCAGGAAGTGGAGGTCACAGTGAGCCAAGATTGCACCACTGCACTCCAGCCTGAGCAAAAGAGTAAGACCCCATCTCAAAAACAAATAAAGAAAAATTAAAATTATAAAATATATTGCTAAATCCTTCACTGGACGAGGATGCTGTAGGCCTCTTGCAGGCCTACTTTTTGCCAGTGTGGGCTGCCAATTATATGACTATAGGTCTAAGGATGCTAGAGAAGGAATTTTCAGCATGACACCATTCAAGTAAATGTTCAACGTCCGACCAAACAGCTAATTCTACATGGGACAAAAATAGATGGAAATGTGTTGTTTGTAGTTCAGTTTGTGCTTGCTTTTTTTTTTTTTTTTAACTTAGTAAAGAACTGATTTCATTTTTATATCCTGCTCTATTCTCTACAGTGACTTAAAAACACAGTATAGGAACTTTAAAAATAGAATGTGTTATTCCCAGTGGCCCAAAAGGGATATTTAAAAGAGCCTAAAAGCAAAATATAATGTAATTCATTGTAGCGCTGCTTTTAGTGTAACTTAGGGCTTTTAAAAAAAGATACATACTTTTTTTTTTCCTGATTATAAGAGATGCCTATTGTGAAAAAATGTTTACATTCATGAAATAAAAATTTTCAGTAAACTTCAAACCAAAGATAATCCCTATTGACATTTTGGGATATTTTCTTTTGCTTTTTTTCTAGAGACAGGGCTGGATACAAGGACAGACAACCTGTGCAGTCACACAGGGCCCCTATTCAGAAGGGTCCCACACTTGAGATTTGTTGTTGCTTTCTTAAAATTCTTAAAAATTTTGCACTGTATTTTTATTTTGTACTAGGCCCTGCAAATTACACAGCCAGTTCTGTCTACAGACGATGCACACACATGCATACTAATCATATATATACATAACATATATGTGTAAGATATATATTATGTATAATATATACATTATATATAAATCTGTGTCATTAAAATTCTTTGTTAGTTTTTTTTTCTTTTTTTTGTTCAGTCTCCATAGAGACTGTCAAAAACTGCCAAAGCCAACTATATTTCAAGTCATTATGGTGGGGTATTGGGAAAAGTTTTCAATTAGCAATAATTGAACCTCAGATAAACCTCATTGGCTGTGATACTGCCACTGCACAAAGCTGTAAACGTTATTTTTAAACATACTGTTTCACATGGAAACATAATCATTTATTTAACTATGTCCCTAATTCATTTAAAATTTTACATTTTAAAAATTTTGTTGTTTTAAATTTGCTCTGTTATAAATAATGATAACATATTTTTATGTTAATCACAAGTATATTTCTGACTTTTTTCTTACAATAGCATCCCAGACATAAAACTGAGGAGATAAAGGGATATGAACATTGTTGAACCTTTGTATTTAAATTGCCAAATAGCAGTCCAGAAAGACTAATATCATCAGCAGAATGTCAGAAATTCTCTTTTCATACTTTTGGCAGCAAATAATATAATTTTTAAATATTTGGTAATTGAGTAAGTTAAAATATTATCCAATCACTTTAATCTCCGTTTATTTGACTACCAGTAAAGGATATTTTTAAATGTACATATTTATTAGATATTTATTAGTCTTTTTTTTTTTTTTTTTTTTAGACCGAGTCTTGCTCTGTCACCAGGCTTCAGTGCAGTGGCACAATCTTGGCTCACTGCAACTTCTGCCTCCCAGGATCAAGCAATTCTCCTGCCTCAGCCTCCTGAGTAGCTGGGACTACAGGCACAAGCCACCATGCCCTGCTAATTTTTGTTTTTTGTTTTTGTTTTTTGCTTTGAGATGGAGTCTCACTCTGAGCCCAGGCTGGAGTGCAGTGGCATGATCTTGGTTCACTGAAATCTCCGCCTCCCGGGTCCCGGTTCAAGCAATTCTCCTACCTCAGCCTTTCAAGTAACTGGAATTACAGGCACGAGCCACCATGCCCAGCTAATTTTTATGGGTTTTTTTTTAGTAGAGACAGGGTTTCACCATGTTGGCCAGGATGGTCTCGATCTCTTGACCTTGTGGTCCACCCACCTCGGCCTCCCGAAGTGCTGGGATTACAGGCATGAGCCACTGCACCTGGCCTATTAGTCATTTTTATTTCTTCTTGAAATTATCCTTAGAATCTAAACTTCTCAACATTATTATTATTATTTTTTTTTTTTGAGACGGAGTTTTGCTGTCACCCAGGCTGGAGTGCAGTGGGGCGATCCCTGGTCACTGTAACCTGCACCTCCCAGGTTCAAGCAATTCTCCTGCCTCAGCCTCCTGAATAACTGGGATTACAGGCCACCATGCCCAGCTTATTTATTTATTTATTTATTTATATATTTATTTATTTTGAGTCCAAGTTTCACTCTTGTTGCCCAGGCTGGAGTGCAATGGTGCAATCTAGGCTCATTGTGACCTCTGCCTCCCGGGTTCACGTCAGTCTCCTGCCTCGGCCTCCTGAGTAGCTGGGATTGCAGGTGCTCACCACCATGCCCGGCTAATTTTGTATTTTTTTAGTAGAGATGGTGTTTCACCATGTTGGTCAGGCTGGTCCCAAACTCCTGACCAAACTCCTGATCTACACACCTTGGCCTCCCAAAGTGCTGGGATTACAGGCATGAGCCACTGTGCCCAGCCTAATTTTTGTATTTCTAGTAGAGACAGGGTTTCACTATGTTGGCCAGGCTGGCCTTGAATTACTGAACTTGTGATCCGGCCACCTCAGCCTTCCAAAGTGCTGGGATTACAGGTGTGAGCCACAGCACCCAGCCTCTCAATGTGATTTTTAAGGTGCTTGGTGTCCTACCACTCTGGATTTGTCTTCTACCACTCCTCTCCTTCCCATTCTCCACCCTATTCTAAGCTCTAGCCATACTTAATTTTATTTAATATCTATAATTTGTCATGCTTTCTCTTGCTTCTTGCACTGTAAACATACAACATACTATTTCTGGAAGTCTCTTTCAATATCTCTTGTCTGATTAATTTATCTTTGTCCTTCAGGTCTCAGCTTAAACATCCCTTCTCCAGAAAGCTTTCCCTGACCTCCAGATTGAGCACCCTGCTAGGGTTCCTAAATCATCCTGTATTGTTATTATTTTCTTCTTCCTCCTCCTCCTCCTCCTCTACTTCTTTCTTCTTTCTTCTGCTTCTGCTTCTGCTTCCTCTTCTTTCTTCTTCCCCTTCTCCTTCTCTTCCTTCTAGTGCATTTTTAATTTTGAAATGATTTTAGATTTACAGAAGAGCTACAAAGATGGTACACAGAGTTTCCATGGACCCTTCATCCAGCTTCCCCAATGTTAATATGTTACATAACCATGGCACCCTGATCAAAACTAAGTGATGAACATAGTCATGATACTATTAACTTTATTCAGATTTCACTAACTTTTATTCACTAATGTCCCTTTTCTTTTTTAGGATCTAATCCTGGATAGCATATTGCTTTAGTTATCCTGTCTCCTCAGTCTCCTGTACTTCATATCTTATAGTGCTTAATGTATTTGATTATAATCTCCTCCCATTCTAGAATATAAGCTTTATGCAACCTCAGTTCTTACAGTCTTACAATGTCCATAGTAAGCAGGTAGTTTACATCACTGAATAGAGAGCAGGATTTTTCCTTAAAGAATTTCTCAGAAAAGGTGGCAACACCTTCTATTTAAGTTCTTACAAAGTGTCTCATATCATGTTATAGTCTCTCAATTATTTTATTTAGGGCAATAAAGTCCTGTTCACACATTAGCCTGAAATGACCTCAGAGAATGAGGGGATGCTTATAGAGAGCATCTATTAGAATCAGTAAAAAATGGAGGCAAAGACATTTAAAAATCTTTAGTAACCTGTGTTTTGGGGGCTGTGACCTCACAGTGATAAGGGCTGGATGTCCTTGTGAACAGGTTTTAAAAGTAGATGGGGAGCCAGGCGTGGTAGCTCATGCCTGTAATACCAGCACTTTGGGAGGCTGAGGCCACAGATTGCTTGAGGCCAGGAGTTTGAGACCAGCCTGGTCAACATGGCGAAAACTTGCCTCACTAAAAATACGAAAATTAGCTGGGCATGGCATGCGCCTATAGTCCCAGCTACTTGGGAGGCTGAGACATAAGGATCACTTGAACCCAGGAAGTGGAGGCTGCAGTGAGCCAAGGTCGCGCCACTGCACTCCAGCCCAGGAGTCAAGAAAAAAAAAAAAGTAGTTGGGGGAGTGGTGAGAAAGAGATGGAGGCTGAAGAACAATGCTGATTATAAAGTTCACTTCAAAAGCAATTCCACTATTCAGGGAAGAAAGCGGCTTACCTCCCTGGTCAAAGCAACTGTTACCTCTTGCCTGAAACTGCTGCGACAGCCTCCTGAATGGTGTCTCTGAACTCCTCCTGTCCATCTACAATATGCTCTCCATGAACATCTGGAGTGATCTTCAAAATTCAAATCTCTTACTTAAAAACCTGTAATAATTTTCCAACTGATCCTTGAATAAAAATCAAAATCACTAATGACTTTTAAAAACCTTGAATCCTTAGTCTCTCTGCCTCTCCCCTCTCTCTCTCTCTCTCTCTCTCTCTCTCTCTCTCTCTCTCTCTTTTGAGACAGGGACTCACCGTATTGCCTGGGTTGGAGGGGTACAATCATGGCCCACTGCTGCCTCGATCTCCTGGGCTCCAGCAATCCTCACACCTCAGCCTCCTGAGTAGCTAGGACTACAGGCATGCACCCATGCCTGGCCAATTTTTTAAAGATTTTTTGTAGAGAAGTCTCATTATGTTGCCTAGGCTGGTCTCAAATTCCTGAGGTCAAGTGATTCCCCTGACCCGGCTTCCCAAAGTGCTAGGATTACAGACATGAGCCACTGCACCGTCTTAAGCTTTTCTTAATTGTCCTTGTTAGAGTTATAGTTATAACTATAAATTCTGTAAGGACAAGATACATGTCAATTTTTGCTCACCTTTATCTTTCCAACACCTAGCAAAGCACCTGGCACAGGTAATTTGTAAGCACTTAAGATTATTTGAATATAAGAACAAATGAGACCCTTCATTTGGAAATGAATTATTTACCCAGTGGTCTAACAGAGTAAACTTTAATAGTTGTACTTTTTTGCTTCTGGGACTCCAGACTTTACTCTGAGCCCTGGCATCATGAGAATCGATCATCCAGTTTGGTTAAGACCATTCAGCTCTACCATTCTGGGGTCAAATATCTGTCCAGCTTATGTGATGTCTTATTCGGAGATGTTCATTTCTAGATGTCCACATCAAACAGGTCATCAATGAGTGACATCTGCTGTCTGATTTCCTGAAAAGTCCTTCATCTCCACCTAAGAGCAACCTAATATTTACCATATGAGAATTCTTCCCCTCAGCTCTCTTGGTCACCAAAGATATGGGTTCTTTGTAGGTTTTCCAAGTTCTTCTCATGGTTGAAGGGCATTTCAGGTGCACTGCTTGGAAATGATGGCTCAGTTTCTAGTATTTGTAGATAAGGAACATAAAACTTGGTGCAGCATGTACTTCAGCAAATCTTGGAGAATTAAGTGTTGCTTCTCAGCATCTCACCCTCAGTTCTGTATCTTTACACCTCATGTTGAAAGCATGAAGAGTAATTTGAAGTTATCAGGCAGCTGCATCAGTTATATAGAAAAAAAATGTATATGTTCCTTCTATACAACTGATAGAAGCCAGCCCTCTGTAGTGTGGCTTCCTATAATCCGTTTGTGGAGTAAAGCTGAGTTCATGGTAATTGTATCTCACACAGATACATTGTTCTATGTGATGTGTCTTGCCTAATTCCTTGCTTGGAGAAAGTTATGAAAGTTGTATCCTGCACAAAGAAGCCACAACTCTCTACATCTTCCATGCTACTTTCTTACTCCCTGGCCACAGGCCTAACTCAGAGTTCTAATCCTACAGAGTACTTCATTCCCTGAATGCCCCATGTACATCTTCTTCCCCTCCCCTGAAGACTTTCATAGATTGTCTCTTCAAAAGATCATTAAATCAAAAAGAAAACCACCCTTCTTTTTTTTCTTTTCATTTTTTTTTTTTTAGATGGAATCTCACTCAGTTGCCAGGCTGGAGTACAGTGGCGTGATCTCGGCTCACTGCCATCTCCGCCTCCCGGGTTCAAGCTATTCTCCTGCCTCAGCCTCCCAACTA